CGTTAAAGCTAGCTCTTAGAAGTGATTATGAATATCATCCCATCATTCTTAAAATTTTGGCACGCTAAATAAAATGTTGAATGATAACAAATTTTGATTGAACTCGATCCTCGTAAAATACTTGTGGTGTATGCTGATATTTTAAAATAATTTAAAATAATTTTTACACTACAATAATTTATGATTAATGCTACACTTCCCTGAAAAATCTATACGTGATATCATTTTCATGGGTTGACCAATAAAGTTTAAGACTGTCAATCATTGCTTGAGAAAAGTTTGATTGTTTCTTTTTTTTTATTTTATTAAGTTTAATATGTATTATAATGTATTATGTTATAAGTTATATTATTCAAATGTAAGTTTGAATGTTTGTATGAGTGAAAATGATACTTTATTTCCAAGAAAAAAACAATTTATCTTATTTAATGACTTCAAAAGTGACTTTAGGATGTATAAGCCTCTAGTTAAAAAGGTTCCATTGCCAATTAAATAACTTATGTGGTTCACTGCCTTCACTATTCACCTATCACACCAATTCCCACTTTCTACTTCTTATATGTAGCCAAACAAGTTTTCTAAGGAGTCGACATCTTATTAGTTGGTTTCCATAATCACTCTGCTAGTAAGATAATAATGTAAAAGTGTCCCATATATAATTTTATGAGACGGTTCTCATTGTATGGCTCTTTATTATAAATAAATCTAATAGGTGGATATCTTGACATAACACACTGCCCTCATGGATTGAAATTCTCATCTTCTTTGTGGCCTATTGCTTGAATATCATTTGTCACTATCCAAACTCTCATCTATGCAAATAGTACACGTTTTGAAGAAATCCCAACTATTTCACCAAAAACTTCTTAGTGTTTATGAGTTTTTTACTTTTATTATAATTAAGAGATATTAGCGTAATTGTACCATACATGTGATAATGACATTAACTTAATACATAAAGACAATGAATTTATCTCCTTATGATTTTTATTGAACTTTAAAAGGATTGTGATAAGGTACAATTAGAATTAACATGGTCAACATTAAAAATAAAAGCATTTGTTGAGAATATATTGGAGTTATAAAATATATGATTGTGTTAGTAGGATTTGAATATTTGTAGTGATTGAAGAGCTTCCACGTGAAATATATCATTTTGAGGATTACCCTTCCATGCTCGGGGCTTCCGACTGCAGCCCGCCATCTCCTTATGATTTTTATTGAACTTTAAAGGATTGTGATGAGGTACAATTAGAATTAATATGGTTAACATCAAAAATAAAATCATTTGTTGAAGATATATTGGAGTTATAAAATATATGATGTTGTGGTTACTAGGATTTGAACTATTTGTAGAGTGATTTAAGAACTTCCCCGTGAAATAGATCATTTTCAGGAGTACCCTTCCATGCACGGGGCTTTCACTTGCAACCTGCCATCTCCTTATGATTTTTATTGAACTTTAAAAGGATTGTGATAAGGCGCAGTTAGAATTAACATTGGTTAACATTAAAAATAAAACCATTTGTTGAAGATATTTTGGATTTATAAAATATATGATTTTGTGGTTACTAGGATTTGAACTATAGGTTCTTCTAAATTTATATAAATTCAACACAACAACAACAAACATTTAGCCCACTAAGTGGGGTCGGCTACATGAATCATTTTTCTCCATTGAGTCCCATTGAGTGTCATGTTTTCATTTAATTCTAATAAATTGGGATCATTTTTTATACAATATGCCCAAGTCTTTCTGGGTCTTCCTCTGCCTTTTTTAACATATGTTGAATCTAAAGCATCTACTCTCTTAATCGCATCATCAGATGGTTGATGTTTAATGTGACCAAACCATCTAAGCCGACTCTCTCTAATTTTGTCTGCCACTGGAGCTACAAGAATCCTGTCACGGATATATTAATTTCACATTTTATCTCAAAGTGTAAAGCCACTCTGCGACCTAATCATTCTCATCTCTACAACACTTAACTTAGTTTTATGCTTATCTTTTAAAGGCCAACATTCAGTACCATAGAGCATTACAGTTTTCACCACCATCTCATAAAATTTTCCTATCAGTCTAAACGGTACTTTTCTATCACAGAATAGGACTGAAGCATTCCTTCACTTCAACCAACCAACTTCAATTCTATTAATAGCATTCTCATCTATATCACCATCATTTTGAACAGTAGATCTGAGATATCTAAAGCGTTCACACATTTTAATAATTTGATTACTTTTAAGTTCACACATTTTAATAATTTGATTACCCATAGTTACAACTCTGTCACTATAGCTACTACTACTAAAATTACATTCCATGTATTTAGTTTTAGTTCTACTCAAACGAATGCCTTAGACTCCAATGTAGACTTCTATAATTCAAGTTTTTCCTGAGCTTTCTCTCAGGTCTTATCCACAAGAAGTATATTATCAACGAAAAGCATACACCAAATTACTTTCTCCTATAAATGTCTAGTAAAAGCATCCATAAGTAATGCAAAAAAATATGGCCTTAAAGTCAATCCATGATGTAATCCAACTGAAATAGGAAAATATTTGGTCAATCGTCCTTCTGTTCGAACACAAATAATAGCTCTATTATACATATCTTTAATGACTTGAATATAAGTCATATCAACACTTTTCTTCTCAAAAACTCTCCAAAGGATATCTCTTTTCGTAAGCTTTTTCTAAATCAATAATAATCATATGTAGATCCTCTTTATTCTATTTGAACTTCTCTATCAAACCTCTCAGTAAATATATAGCTTCCCTGGTAGACCTGCCCGACATAAATCCAAATTGATAATGAGAAATCTTATCCTATGTTCAATTTTCCTCTCCCATAATTTTAAATTATGACATATCTACTTAATTCCTCTATAATTTGCACACTCTTATGCATCCCTTTCTTCTTAAAAATGGGGACCAAAATACTCTTTCTTCAATCCTCAAGCATATTTTTAATTTTTAAAGTAATATTAAAGAGTTTAGTAAACCAAGGAACTCCCAAATCTTATATATATTTCCACACTTCAATTGTGATATCATCAGGTCCTACAGACTTTCCACCCTTTATTTTCCTTAAAGTCTCCTCATCTCTTTTTTTACTAATGTGATGATAAAAATGAAATATTTTATTATTATTAACGATATTAAGACCACTAAGGTCGATCTTATTTTCAAAAATTTCATTAAAATGATTTTCTCAATAACTCACCCACCTATATTAAATATATCTTTCTAAGGAAAATAATTTTTTTTTTCATTTTTAATACACTTTACTTGGGTTAAATCTTTAGTTTTCTTTTCTCTTTGTTTGGCTAATTTATACATATATATTTTCACCCTCTTTATTATCTAATATGTTATAAATATCACTAAAAGTAAAATTTTTAGTGTCGTAGATTGTTTTCTTATACTCCCTACGGGTCATTTTATATTTTTCTCAGTTCTCTAAGCTTCTACATTTAAATTAATTTTTTTAACATAATTTTTTATATTTTATATTTGTTTGCACATTATATTGCACCACGAACTATTTTTATTTATAGAAACTTTTTTTCTTTTGATTCTCCAAGTACATCTTTTGTCACTGGTTTATTAGTGTTTGTTAATTTATCTCACATAGCATTTACTTCTTCATGAACATCCAAAATTTTGAATTTTACTCATAAAAATAATTGTATTTGTGACTTTTAGGTGCTCTCATCTAATTCCACGATAATGATTCTTAGTATTCTTTATTATACGACTCTTCATCGTAAAATTTAGAACTAATAATTGATGTTAAGAACTTAAATTCTCAGTTCTAACGACCTTACAATCTTTACGTTTTCGACTATCTCTTCTTCTCATAAGAAAATAATCAATTTATGTTTTATTAGATCTATTATTATAAGTAGTAATATGCTCATCTCTTTTCTTAAATAAAATATTAGCAATAATAAAATTATACGTTAAAGCAAAATTCTTATCTATAATTTTACCTACATCATTTCTAATGCTACTCTTATCTGAATACCAAAGTTTAATATTTAATGACCAATTTAATTTCTTGATTACATAAGATATTTATCTTTGTATGAATCATAATATTAATTAATTCTATTATTTTATTTGTGAGAGTACTTATATTCAAAAGTTCTATTCCAATATTTGTTTCATGAACTAACTTATTTATTCGCATCCGTTCGTAATGTCGGAACCCTTGCTTGTTTCATGCTACACGCAGGCGCCGTTGTAGCGGCTTTTGCAGACTTTTCACCGTATCTGGGCCATAAAATGCACCGCTTCTAGGAGACGCCCTAGCATTTATACAATGTTCAAAAGGACTAATGTCATGACATGAGTTTTTAACACAAATGATAAAAAAAATCAACTATTTCTCTTTAATTCTTACCAATATTTATATAGTGATGTAGTTTTGATAGGTTAAGCCCCTTTTGATGTGAGTTTTCGGAATAAATTGAGGATATTTTAAAGAGTTTAATATTACTAAAATATTGTGTGCATCACAAGAATATAATTACCAGATTAAAAGTTGAGCGGATAAAATAGAACAGTGCTCAATGATTATTTATTATGAGAGTATCTTCAAGGTTTGAGCTAAATTTTATAAAAAAATAATTATCTTTGTTGTTTACATTTGAGAATCGAAAAAATATTGAAATCATCAACAACATAATTCATTGCGATTAAACAGTAATGTTAAATGGCTTTGTGGTACTTTTACTCAATTTGGAGATATAATCAATTTGAAATAATAGAAAGACTATTTGTAAATCTAAATTGTTAGAAGCTCATAAAAAGTCGCATAAACTGAGTTAGTACTTATGTAACAGCCAACATAATTAGTCAAGAATTCTAACACTAATTATTTGGGTTAAGCCTTGTGACGATGATGCTGATCATTTTGAGGAGAATTCTCTTCGTTTAAACGTTACTAAAGAAGTTTGTGTTGAAGTGTCTAAAATTAGTTAAATTTTGTTCAGGATGCATTGATGAAAAGCAACGAGGTCTTTGAAACATTCAAGCAGGAAATGGAAAAGGTATGCCTATTCTTACCAGGTATTTATTGTTAATTCATTAAAAAAAATGTTTTCGCCATTTTTAAGTCTGTTATTTCTATGGAGGCTTTTATTTTACAGGACTTCCTCTTTTTTTAATTGCTTGCTGAAGTATATCTAAGAATTATTTCCTGATATTTCTTCATCAGATGGCCAAGTTAATTAAGGAGCTTAAGAAGGAAAATGAATTTTTGAAGAGCAAATGCGAGAAGTCGGACATTGCACTTGTAAAACTTGTGGAAGAGGTAAGATTTTTTCTATTTTATCGACCAATTCAGTATTTTTCGTATTTATTATCACCCACATTGGTTCACAATTTCAATCGATCAAACATTTTGTTCATTATCTTTCCTCAATATTCCACGCTCTCTAATATGCCAAGAGTTTCACAAATCAAGGTATTGAAGATTTATATAAAGCAAGTGAAAAATATCTACACCTAAAATTGAACATCCAAAAAGTAAGTTATTAAAACAGCAAAAGTGCTTTTTAAATATCTATAATATCTTGCTACGAACAAACTAAATCAGATTTTCAAATTAGGCCTTTCATATTTTATAAAAAAATTAAAATTATGAAATTTGATTGTGATTATAGATATCTGGTAAGTAGTCAGCCGCCAAAAATAATGGTGTCTCTTTGTAAAGATGCAAAGAGTTTGGGCTTAAGAGTAGGGTTGTAAACAAGCCGAGCTTGAGTGAGCTCAGGTTTTGGCTCGTGAACAGTGTGTTTGTGTTTAGCTCGATTTAAATATTATTATTTGTGTTCAGCTCGAAATTGACTCGTTAAAATTAGTTAAAAATAATAGATGTACTGTATTGGATTCGGTTCTGCACAAACTCTTACAATAGAATGTGCATAAACCACATGACCACACAAACTCTTATAATTTAAAGTTAGATATAAATATAGATAATATATTATTATATAAATAATATATATAATATATTATTATATAAATATTAGATATAATTTCTTTATTACGAGCTAAAACGGACTGAACACCAACGAACAAAGAGTTTTGTGTTCAGCTCGTTTTTTAATTCGAGCTTAAAAAATTTGTTCGTATTTGGCTCGTTTACTTAACGAACGAGTGGAACACGAGCTGTTCGCGAACAACGAGCTTTTCTGACAGACGAAATTCAGACATGCCAAATGGACCTCTATTGTGCTTTGCTGGTCATCACAAACTACCCAGCAGGTCATAGCAAAGTATAGCATGTCATTGCAAATGCTAATTTTGATAATTAATAGGCGTAATATAGCTGTTTGGAGCTAATTCTAAAGTTGATCTTAAGACTTTTTTGCAAGGAAAAATAAGAAAAAAACTACAATTTTAATAGTTGATATATATTCTCATATAAATATAACTGAGTTGTTCACAATTGAATACCTAAGAGATTTCCATGAGAATCTCTGCTACTTCAGCCAATTTCAAATTCGTTTTACTTGTATTTTTGGTCCATTTTCTGCCATCTCTGTGCTTTTTCTAAGTCAATCTTTATATTTAGCATCACTTATATTAATTTATCTTGACTTAAAATGCACCATTTCACATATATATTTTCATGTCATTTTACTTATCTATAAATACCCCCTAAATAAATAAATAATAATAAGCCTCTTCCATCTTTCCTGATCTTCTGTTATGCAAGACATAATTAATTATCTTGCCTATAATTTGCCTCCAGAACTTCTAAAATTTGATTTATTTGATCGTTACAGCGTGAATACATGAAGAAGCAGGTGGAGAAAGCAAAAAATCAGAAGGAAAAACTGGAGTCTTTATGCCGGTCGCTACAGGCAGAGAGAAAGCAGAACTCATCGGTGACTAACCCAATTGCTTCAAATTCCGTGCAGTCTAAAGCAGATTCCACCAAGGGAACAAGCATCTAAAATAAAAGCAGCAATTTCTTTTTTTCATCTTTGCTGCAGATATTTTGGCAAAAATAAGTTACGGATTGGAAAATTATTGTGATTTTATGGCTTCTTAATTATCTATATTTACTTGCAATTAATTTTTTTTTTTTTAATTTAAATGAAACTTTTTTATTATTCCTTTCTTTCTATACTGTTTAGAAGTAATTAATTGCATATTTCAATTTTATTGAAAGTTATGTAATGTCATGTGGAGTACAAATCAATTTCTGAAGACATTTAATTTTTTGCAAGATATGTTGATGATTTCTCAAATTATTATTATTTTTATTTAGGAAGATTTAAATACATAGTAATCAAGTGCTATAAATTTACATTTCTAACACCTAAACTTAATTTTTTTAGCATACCTTTGCATGAGAAGGTTTATTTCAATTTTTAAAAGTTTCAATGGTGGTATGCTTCATGTATTTTGAAATATTTTGGTGGTATGTGGACAAAGTTTGGGTGTTAGATATGTAAATACATATGAATTGGGTGGTATGTATGTAAATGCAGCTATTATTTAATGGTTATTGAATTTTTTCTCAATTCATGCAAGTTGATGCTTTTAAAAATCTATGTTTTTATCATGATCTCTAATTTCATTATTTTAGTTTTTAACGAGTTCTTAATTTATTGTCAATGTATCTGGAAATCGATAGATATTGGCAAATTATAAATATAATGTTCGGCGAACTATGCATTGTCGCCATTTTGTTTGATGCTAATAATTTCATTTTTCTTCAAATCTCTAATAAAAATATAAAGTCCTACATTTATTTTACACTGAACCGAACAACTTTTGTCATGCATTCATTTTGTACTGCATTTTTGTTTCTAGCAAACCAAACATGTCATAAAAGGGTGTTTCGGCTCCTATAAGATTTAGGTTAAATAAGATTTAATAAATATGATAAAAGAATAATGTTTGGTTCGATTAAGGGTTAAATCTTTTAAAATCATTAATGGCATTTGACATAAATACACTCCTAGGGCTTTTTCACAAAGCTAAATCCGTTAAATTCACGTAATAATCAAATTCAATAAATTTGGATATATGTTAAAAAAATAGCTAAAAGGACAAAAATTGGATTTAGCAAAGTACGGATTTAATTTGTCTCGTGTTTTTTGTTCGGCTAGATTTATGTTAAGTAATACGTAAATCCCGCTCAAATCCGCCTTTGGGGCAGTTTATTTGGTGTGGTGTGGTTTTAAAAACGCACCTGAACTGTTTGGGTAAACTGCGTTTTGACAGCTTATGAGTTTTGAAAACACTGAAAGCAGTGTTATAACATTTGACTGTTGAGGTCAAAATTAACACTAAAACTTATATATATATTTTTTAGATCTGTAATGCATGATTAAATAAAGCAAATCTTATATTCTGTTCATCTTACATTATTTTCATAAATACATTTTTTATCAGATTTTAATTAGAATATTCTCATTCATTCATTTTCTTTTATAAATATAGCTGAATCATATTATAAATACATCAATTCGTATTTCCATTAGCGTCTGTTGGGGCAGCTGCAGCTTATTTAATAATCTGCTGATAAGTTGATTAAAAATAATCTGTTGATAAGCTAGGTGCGTCTATTACAAATTTTTTTTTTTATGAAAAAGCCAGACCACAGCCAGAAAGCTACCACCACACCTAGACAGGTGCGGTGTGAAAATACTATTTTCAGCATTTTGAAAACACATAAGTTGTCAAAACGCAATTTACCCAAACAGCTCGGTTGCGCTTTCAAAACGCCACCGCATTGAGAAATATCTTAAATTATTGTTTGATAAAGGGATCCGGACAAAATTCAATTATTGAGAAATTTGATATTTATCCCTAACTAATTATCTTGTCATGATTAATTATTTTTTAATTACAATTAAGATGATTTTTATGATATCTAGAATAGTCAAATTTGTTAATATTGAAATGCTGATTATATAATATATGGAGAAAATGACTGAACAAAATTATTATGTATATTTATAAGTATCGTTTTATTATTCAATAAGACAATGGGTCTAAATAATATTGTTTATACTTTATTTTCTTCTGTACAGACAATTAAATGAGCCCTAAAATGATTGTTTAGGACAATTTTGTTTTGGAGGATTTACAAACATACCATTCATTTTCTCTATGTATTTACAAATCTAAACTCCTGAACTTCAATTTTTACATACATACACGCCAGCTTTGAAAAATTGCATCACTTTTTCAAAATTAAAATGTTGGTATTATTGTTGCGATATGAACATTTTGATGGTAAAAATGTAGAAGAAAAATATAGTATAGATGATAGATATGTAAATGCATAGGAATTGACTGGCGTGTGAACACTAAGATATCTATCGCCCGAGCACATAAATGGAAAAAATATATTGATATTAAAGTATTTTAACCAGTATAATTTTGAGACGGTGCTCATGTAACGATTGTACATATATAAAATGATATAAATATATTATTCATATTATAAAACACTTTAACTATTATTAAATGTCGGAGCGATTATATTCGTAAACTATCAAATATTTTATATTGATTTAATAATAACTTAACTCACATGCATATTATTTTTTTTTTCATTGTGTTTTTGTAGTCATGAATGTGATCAGTATTCATTGGTTTTGATTAGATCTCTGCGGTTTTAAACTAAGATTTCAGGCTTAAATTTATTGACTAAAGGATGAACAATTGAGCGGACAATGTTTATAGAAGATATAGACAACTAAAAATAAGGTAAATTTAACTCTTATATAGTGTCTCTTTCATCATTAAAATATTAGTTATAGAAAATAAATATATAAAAATTCAATTTTCTACTATTCGATCATCTATAACATCATTAGTTAATTCCAAGTCTCAGGTTAGATCATGACACACTCACCATGAAGAACATTAGTCACCCATGATCACTTACTGTACTTTAAGAGATCCACTCACCGAGTCAACAAAAGTTACTCGCGTGTTGTTGTGAATCGACCGCTTCATTAAAACAATTTGACATTCTATTTACCCTATCTACAATTCCACTTAGTGAGTTACTCACCTCATAGCATGGAACACACTCAGACTGGAAAATTGGTTCTAGGAAACCAGAAGGAGGAGCGTCTTGATAAGTTCTACTGAAAGATAAAAGGCTGATGATTTTGTGTTTCTTTGAATTATGAACATCATGACTCATTCATATGAACATTTTAGAAATGTATGTTCTTAAACATAGAGAATATTTAATGGTGAGTTTGATATTTACGTGCATATCACTCAAATATTTAACATCGCATCAAAAATATCATTATTACCGACTATTTTAAAATGAAATATATCTTGTTATGCTTAGGCGTTCATGTGATTACGACACGAAAGTATTGCAAGCCTAAATATCAAACCTTAGTTGGTAGATTTGTAAATACATGAGAATTGTGTGGCATGTTCATAAATTTCTCATTTAAATTATCCATTGCTTTATTTATCTTCATTTTTGAACAGGTGGGGCTATTTGGTTGTATGGATTATGTATTTTTAATGCTATATTATTATTGCATGAACAGAGTTTTGTTCCTTGTTTAAAGATAATTATTAAGTAATTAATGAGAAAAAAGCCATAAGGCCATTAGGCCAAAGCAAAAAATATCTTGATTCATCCCAATAATTGCATATTTATATATAGATTTAACAAAATATATCACACAACCAAACGTTAATTATCTTAATCCACCTCTAATCCATATTTTCAGTTAACATCAGAGCCAAACCTCACAAATTAAACTCATGGCCAACTAAAAAAGCCACCCTTTGGGCCCATAATCTCAGATATATTTTCATGTCAGTTCCATCAATGTTCCTCAGTTCTTCTTCATCCATACATTCTGATCCAAACTTCCCCTTCCCGTACACAAAACTGAGACCATTAAACTCTCCAATCTCATAGTTCTCGAGCTCACATATGCTCCAATGGCTCCCACATATCTTCGGAATTCTCAGCTGTGCTTGCTGTGTTATTTTGTCTTCTGAATCCATTTTGTTTTCTGTTATATTCAGTCTTCCAAGCTTCTTCATCTTTTGAACTGTTTTCTTCTTCTTCTTGCTTTCACCCGCAGCTTGCTGAAGTGACTGAAATAGGAAAAATTATAACGTGCGGATAAGATAGGTACTTATAGATGCGAATTTGGTAGTATTTTGATAGTATTAGTGATATAATGTTTTGCAAATACCACCAATTCTCATGTGCAGAATCGTGAGGTGATAAGAAATGGAGGTTTAATAGAGGAAGAAATAGATATCCTAGTGACCAACCACCGTGCCACCATATCACCCATCAATGAGATGTGCGACGACATGACAACTGATGGTTGGCGGTTCAGACGTGCATTATACAGGCGTAATATTTTTACTTTCATAGGGCATTCTGAAGTTAAAAAAAGAAGAAATATTGCAAATTTAAATTCTTTTATTACAAATTTACCTCACAAAAGCTGCCATCTTCAGAGGAAGTGGTTGATTTTAATATATTTTCTTCCTTCTGCAGCATGGATAAGATGCTGAAGTTGTGAGGCTGAAAGAAGAGAATATTATTGTGGAACCAAACCTTATCCATGGCTTCTTCAAGGTTGAAGCGGGAGCAGGTGCTAATGGCGGCCATCTTTGGATTTAGGAGAGTGCACCGGTTGGAGATTTAGATTATAAAGAAGTTTATGTGATAGAGAAGATTAGAATGGAATGAGTGGTCCTTCGAGAATGTTGTTATGATCATAAATTTGGAATCTTTGGAATTGTGATGGTCCCATGATAGCTACAAGGTGTTGATTATGCACCATGTAAGTCCATGGTTGAGCGCATGCTGTGGGGCCAGTCGCGTCGAAACCCTAATTCGGTTATTCGGAACGAAAGCCAGAGGAGATGATCAACGTTTAAAAAATGCACAATAATTTTATAGAAGTGAAAAGTAGGAGGCATAAGATAGTTAGATGAGAAAATATTACATGTGGAGTTTTGATGCATCCGGACTTCATGTATAACAATGTTGTACACATTATGCAACACACTATACAACACATGCAGAATCATAAAGTTCGGATGCATCCGAACTAAGCATGTAATGGATAGATGGATTGAAGAGCGTGAAAATGGAAAATCAGTAGAGTGCTGTCAATACTATAGTTTTCAAACTCAGAAAAATATAAATAGCAATCAAATTGTACAGGCAATATAAAATTAATGCTATTGAATGCCTCTTAAATAATAGCTACAATCTCTCTATTTTTGGTTGATTGGATTTAGATAATATGTCCTGCATCTCATCAAAGCTTCATTTAATACATTTTTTTATGAAATAAAATCAACATATAGCTTTGGATTTTTTTTATTCAAATATTTTGGGCTTATTTCCAAACGCAAGACATATTGTACGAATTAATGAATTGCATGCACAGGACGGTACAGTGTTAGGATATTTTATGCGGTGGCTATTTCAGATGTATATTTTAATCCATTCGCATTAAATGAGAACGTCGATTTCCAATGCCAGCTATGTGGTTTACGAATTTCGTTATAAAAAGATTTAATACTTTTTAAGAACAGTCTTTTTCTATTTTTATATCAGAATTTATTGTTATTATTATTATTATTATTATTATTATATAATTATAATTTGTTTGCTATCCCAATCACATGAAACAAAAGATATATTTCATTTTAAAATATAGATTAAATATTTATTTATCTTCTATTAAATTTTTGCGTTGAAAAATGAAATAGAGGGCTTTTTTTTTTGGGATGATTCTAGTTTTTTTACAAGCTGCTTATAAAATTATGGTGAAAGAGATATATATATATATATATATGTTTTTCAAACAATAGAAATAAAAAACAGTTTTTTTATAGCGGTCGTTTTTTAAATATGTTAAATTAAGAAAATAATTTCTCACCAAAAAAATTTAAAAGAAATAAGAATAATTTTAAAATAAAATAATTGTGGTGATCTTAAATACTAAACATGCCTATGTGGGCCATGGGCCCCTTCCTGATATTTTAAATTCAAGCTCATGCCTATAATTAACAACCTTCTTAATCTTTTACATTTCCAACCTACAAATTCTTAAGACACCAATCTTCATCTAATGTGGGGTTCACTTTCAACCATGATTAAAAAGAGAGAAAAAAAACTAAGCTTAAACAGGTTGGTTTCACTGTTTAGAAATTAATAATAGTTATTTTTAATGAACATTATAAATGGGGGGAAAAGACAATTTAAGTGTTGGATGTGTGAATAAATAAGATTTGGGTTGTATGTATGTAAATGCCCCAATAATGCCTTCGCTATATTTTCTTATACTATATACTTAAAAACTTGACACCATAAATTTTGACCATCTTGAAATCAATCTCAGCCACTGATTGCTCCAAACTTTATATAATTCAGTTTAGTTTCAGCAGAAATAAAATCCAACGGTGAAGATTTACATATATACAACCCAACTCTTATGCGTTTGATCTAACACACATAGGAACACATCAAATGTCTGGACTACATTGAAATAAAAATCAAAATAAAATTACAAACCCTCTGCAATAAGCCTATAAAGGAAAAGGTACATTTCATTTTTAAGAGAAGAGAGTAGCAGCAGAACTTTTGGTCAAAGATTTGAGTCAATGTTTGTAAATATTGAAGTTTGGGTGTTAGATATGTAAACATCAGATTTATTTGGAGTTGTGAATAGTTGAGAATTAAGTGGTATGCATATAAATGCCCCTAAAACAGAGAAAAATACAAAAGGGGGTTTACGAACATGACCACCCAATCCCTATATATTTGCATATCTAACACTCAAATTTTAACATCACATCAAAAAGTGCACTATTACAAAGTATTTAGAAGTGAAATGCAATAAATGTAAACATCAAAGTGCATCTGTTGAATATGAAAAAATAGTGTGTTGTATTGCACATAAATTGCCCAAATATAAATCCTGATTCAGCAAAATAGCAAATCTGCAATAAATTGTCAGAACAATATGAGAGAAGCATCACAGAATACCTAATAAAAACACACAAAGATTTCCACACCGTATCATTCAACTCCTATGCATTTACATTCAAAAGTTTCATGTTTAGGTATTGAACACTCAAATTTTAACATCACATAAAAAATTACACTTTTTAAGAGTGAAATGCTATAAATGCAAATATCAAACTGTAGCTGTTAAGTATAAAAATACAAGTGCGGTGTATGCATGTCAATTTCCCAAATATAAATCCTGATTCAGTGGACAACAAATCTGTAATAAACTGCCAAACAGAATGAGAAGAGTATCACAGCATACCTACTAAGAACACGACAAAGAGTTTCAAACACATCATCCAACTCCCATGTATTTACATATCTAACACCAGAACTTCACTTTTTACATACATGCCACCCTTACCCATGCATAAAAAAAAGGGAGATGCAATTCAATTTTCAAAACTTAAAATAGTGATTTTTTTTTATGTGAAATAAATGATTTGTTCGACAAATAAAAATAAAAAAAAACTAGATTTTTTATTTTAGGATTATAGTAAATCCATAGAAATTGGGTGGTATGTATGTAAATGCCCAAAAAAAGAAAAAAAAAAGGAAAAAAAAAACAAATGCAATTTTAAAAAATAAGGACTGTATGCGCAAACAAAGGCCTCTTTGCCACTAGAATTGAAAACTACAAGCATCCGAAAAATACACGATAGAACCAGTGGGAGTCTGGTCGACAGTGTTGTATGGAGAAACCACCAAAACAAAATAATGATGACATTAAAACAAAAATTAAAAGGAATCATACCTCCCCCTAAACTCTCTACCTGTGCTGACACAGAAAATAATGGATAAAAGGAATTCAAAGCATTAAGAGACTAAAAGAAAAAAAACTACTACAGAACAGGTATGAACAGCAAAGCCAACCTACTCCCACCCCATCGTTTTCATTCAGCTTATGAGACTACTACAGAATATGATACAGCTGCTGCTGGCATCTGTACTTAATGCCTCTACCACAACAGATTTTACTAACCTTCCACAAAGCTACCTTCCTCTGGTGTCCCCCGTCAACGACTCCAAGTCGCCGGAGAAGATCTTCGTTCTCCTCCCTGAATAATGCATCTGGATGGCCGCCACAGGATCCGACACCCCGCTGCCTCCGACCACCACGCCGCCGAGGTGGTGCATCATCCGGCCTTCATGCGGGAAACCGGAAAGTGAGTCAAAACCATTTCGTTTCTGCGACTCAGGGTAAGTCTCAAGAAACTTCTCCGTCGAAAGAGAGCAATTTTGCGCTTGTTTATAATCATCTTTGTTTCCGGTCGCGATTATTTCTTTGGAGATACTGAAAGGTGGATAATTTGCAAGCATGATGGTTGGTTCCGGAAGAGATGGTAATCCAGTTTGAATTTGGTTACCATCCCAGAAACCATAGGATCGTTGAGGCAGCTCGCCCAGATGGTGAACGAGGCCGTTCCTTCCGGGCCTTGGAGCAAATATAGCTGCATCCTTCCAACGAGTAGATGATGAATTATTGGTTGCATTTGAATTTTGTCTGGGTGAGAGGGACACTTTGCCACTTTCATGCGATTTTTGTGAAAATTGATGGGTGAGAATCTGACCAAACAACTTCAAATCACCACCTCGATGAGACTGATCACCAGAACCGGCAGTGAGGTTTTGCTCTGACTTATGATCCGGTCTGGGGACCATTGAGATCTCAGACCTGGAATTTAAAAACCCTTCACCAACACACTTGTCGTTGTGCGATCCTGGAACAGAAGAAGAATTTGATTGGGAGAATGTATTAGCCATCACTGAACTTTCAACAATCATCTTTCTGTTAATCTTCAACTCCTTGTGATTCTCAATCAAGGACTGCATGGAACAGCCCCGGGCAGCAAGCAGAGGATCAATCTGATTCGAAAATGGGTGATGAAGGGGAATTGGAGAAAGATCCCTACAAACAGATTCTTGTAGGGACTTCTCTCCATCCTGCAAATTGAAAAGGGAAATGGAAGAGTCCTTACCATTAAAAGAAATCGAAACAGCCGAATCAGGTTGCACTATTTTAATCTGAGGTCTATTCTGCAAAGAAGACGGCACTTCCAAGGGAGCATGGAGTGGGAAATTGGAAGAGAGAAGACTAGGAGGATATTCAACATTCTTGTTTTCTCCATCGTCACAAGAACTGCCTTTAGAATAAGAAATTGGGCAAAACATAAGAGATTCGCCAACATTAACAATTTCCTCGATCTTAACACTTGCTGTCTTCTCACCTACAGAGTCGAATACCTCAACTAACTGATTCAAGTTTTGTTCTTTACTTAGTTCATCCGAAGCAGAAGCAGATGCCACAGTCTGTGACTTTGACTTTTCAGTAAGTAACATTTCATTAGTACTCTTGTTACTTGATTCAGGCTCATTGCTTCTCGAACTAAAACTGCAAATTTCCCCGTGATCTTTAACAAATTCCAGATTGCCCCCCACAATTAGAAGCTTATTTTCATTAAGAACCGAAGCCTTATTATTGAGATTGGCCTCAGCTTCACCTGGAATGGATCCAACAATCTCACATTGCTCGCATGGCCCATCTGCATCTGCTTGTTGGGTGTGCCCTTCGCTACAGGTTTCTAAGATTGACTGCGTGAAATCTGCATCGATCTTCGAGCATGACTGTGTACTACAGATCGCCGAATCAATCTCAGCAGCGCAAGCATCATCACTATCACTTCTCCCACCATTAACATCGCTCAATGGCGTCACCTCATTGGCCGACCCAGGTTGGATCACGTCAAGACAAAGACATTTTCTTGCCTTGCTATAGAAAATCTTACATTGATCTCGTGACCTCGTTCCGACGAATTGTGCAACCTTAACAAAGTCTTTGCCGTAAATGTTTAATGCTTGAATCAACATCAATTTCTCTTTGTCGGTCCAATCAGCTGACTCCAATTCGTCTGAACTGTCATCAGAACACATGTCTTCTTCGTCGATCGTATGGGCCCCTTCCGGGGTAAGAGAACAGTCAATTGACGCAAAGCGGAACTTCTCCGGCAGATCAACAGAGCTTGTAATACAAGAACTCATTGCATCCGACGAAAGAGCACCACATATACCAGCGAGAACGTCGGCAGCGGCGGCTTCTCGCTCGCTTCCCGAAATTTCACTATTCGTCTTTTCTAAAGAACCATTGCTCCGACGAGAAACTCTTGCATCATAACAACCCGACTTGCCGCTCTGCTTTAGACTACTGCTTCTTCTGTTACAATTGCCCTCGGAAGCCATCAAAGATGCCGCGCCCAATAATTCAAGGGAAGTAGTGTTGGTTTCACGATTAAACCGAGCTCCAGAAGTTATTAGGTACGTGTTGCTTTGTCTGTTCTGTAATTGTTTTCTCCATTTAAGATGCTTCTTAACTTCAGTAAAGCTCTCAGATTTGTGGTTCTTGTAATAAAACTCGATGCAGTCTGCTGTTGTTTTGTGGGTCAGGAAGGAAGAAATCTTTTCGAAGTCTTTACCACACCTAGCGAGCTTTTCTAAGAAAATTTCCTTTTCTTCCTGCATCCAAGGATTCACAGTTACTCTTTCCTTCTCGAGAGCAACCGGGTCCTCTATTAAACCATTGTTGGAGTTAAATTTAGAGTACCTCCTATCATTTTCATCAATAATTTGTGCTGGCATCTTGAGGTTATCCCTGTAAAGCCTCACCTGGGAATCCAAAAGTAGCTTACTGGTGAAGTTTATTACATCTGTTGAAGGAACCAGGGTTAGATTTTCTGCTGCAATAGAGAAAGTATATCGTAAGATAAGACTACGGGGAGAAAAAAAAAAGAATTGATAAACTAGTCTACCATAAAAATATATTATACATTGCTCCGCATGAGAAATTATATAAAAACCTCAAAAATATTAGTTTATGCAATTTTTTTGAAAATAAAGGACATAAATTTAACTGACAAGGATGTGCCATATACAAAAGCAGACGAGTCGATTTACTGAAAAGAGCTTTGATAGGGAAAATTTGCAGGCACTTCTAAATTACAATTAACAAAGAAACAAAAATTTGTACCATGCTCAAAATTTCAACATCGTCACTCCTCACCAATAGATTAGCCTATCAACCCAAAGTATCTCAAAAAGGTGTTCAAGATAGCGTTGTGCATTAAATTAAATATATGAAGATAGACACTAAAAATTATTGCAACTCTCTTCATATGAGCAATCAATAAAGACGTTATACTTGTACGAATTATCACATTTTTTTCAACATAACCTATATTTCCTTCGAATAAAAAAAAATGATTAATTATTATTTGTGTGTATCTACTTGTATTCCACGAAAAATTACTGATTGTTGCATAAAATGAGTTGTGCCATCATTAGTATTATCTCAAACTGCTTGGTTTCAGATATATAAATCCTCAATTTCAATTCAATCCAGATTCCTTCTAAGTATTGCTAAAATGTCAAAAAAAAATTGTTGCAAATTTGTAGGATAACTTTTATCCATTTACCTTAGGTTTATTGGATGGAAATTTCACATAAAATTACAATGGATAAATTTTTTTTCCTACACTTTATTGAATATGTTCAAATTACCAGAACATAAACTTGTGTACTTTAACTTGAATCAATGTAATTCTAATTGTTGTGCCAATGTAATCATTCATTAATCTGTCCTTGTTAATTGTGTCATATTTCCATATTAAAATTCTCATTGCTGCCGCCCTCCATGTATGTGTCAATGGCTTTCACTGCGCAACACTTGAATGCGTTCAATATAGCCGATTCAAAAAACATTTTACAAATGCTACCTTAAAAACTGATGAAATTCTCTTATTCAATAATACAACCACTCAACCTTAACACTAGAGTTAAGAGAGGAATATCAAGGCAAGTTCAACTAAGCCCAGTCTAAACACCAAATCAATTAAATTGATTACAATTAGAAAAAAGTTGAGATACAAGTAACCGATTTCTAATCAACTTTTAAGCTCAATTTAGTTTTATATATATATATATATATATATATTATATATATATTAATTGCTATTCAAAATTGTTCCCTATATATGTAATTACTATTCAATAATAAAATTAAATGTGTCCCAATTGATGTGATATATATTCAATAATAAAATTAAATGGTCTCAATTGATGTGATATATACCTACTAAAAAATTACACTCTACTTTACATCCCGACTGCTCTATACTAAATCCAAAACTAATATCACACTTAAGTTTTAACTTAACTAAACAAAATGTCCAATAATTATTAGTCACAAACTAATATTGCATGTCATATATTTTATCCCTCTTCAAGTAACTCTTAAGTCATTTGCCTTCTTAGATACTTTCTCCGTTATCATAACTTTGAACTTGTTTCAAAAGAGACGTCATCCCTTTAAAAAATGCAAAGATTTTGATGGAAAGTTGTTATATTCAGGGGTTATTTATTCACTATACAATCAAATTTAATGGTTGTCAATACTCTTTATTATAAATCATCAATAACTTCAATATACATTCAAAATACATTGTCCCTAGTGCTCAACAAATCAATTTTCATAATATTTGCTCAAATGCTTTCCCAAGAACAATAAAAATCATATAATTGTATCTTAGTATCTTGATGCAAAATTGATTCAATGATCAATCTGCCAAACATAAAACCAAACTTATTCGTGTAAACTAAATTAATTTTCTATCTGCATAATGGCGCATAATACGTAAACCAAAAAATTCCATATACAGTTGTTGCTGAATAAGTGAATCAGCTGCGCTATAAGACATATTATAGCATCATTTTTTATAATTCAAACATACAAAGTATTATCTTTTCAGCCTTCATCTACCTGTTCTAGACATGTAGCATAATTCATCTCATTTCCAAGTCATGGTCTATCAAATGCACAATTTCCATGGATTTTATGTAACTTTTCACTGTTCAACTATTGAATAAACCTTTGGCATTGTTTAAAGGTTGCTTATTTTTTATAACAAGGGATTTTCGATTTAGAAATAAGGGGCATAATCACACCATCGATTTGACTTTAAAATTTAGAGTGCTTTTAGAAGGCTTTCTTTATATAATTCTTTAATTAACTACAACTTGCAACAAGTATTTTAGAGTCTTATTTTATCTCAAAAAAGTTATATAAAAGAAGGATGTTCTCTGGGATATGTTGGTAACTAGGGTGGTCTTCTTAGAGGTAGCTTGTTTTCATGTATTTGGGGTATAAAGTGTGAAGAAATGTAGAGTTCTAAACCCCGCACAATGTATTTTTTTTGACAAATTCAAAATTTGCCCAAGTCAAGTGAATTTGGAATGTAGTGCTGTCAATGACACTGCAACCTCATTGTGTGGTATTGGTTTATCCACCCTACAACCCTGCCCAAAATGATATGCCGAACATGCTAAAAAAAATAGACAATAGAAAGGTAAACTGTTAGCTAAATTTGCCACGAACAATTTGGCATTTGAAATTATTCAGACACACTGCTATCTTGAATTACATCAAGTTTAATGCTGAATTTGGATCAAATTGTCCAGCAAGTTGATCTACACTAGACTAAAACTTGCTCCGAATTGAAAATAAAAGTGTGATGAGTACATTTTAAACATTGATGTCTAAAACTTCTACGTGACTTGAAGCCCCATCAACTTTAAAATAAATACATATTGGCTTGTTACTTAATGAAAGCTAATTTGTTTTCGAGGATATAGCCCCTCAGCAAGTTTTTCAATTTATGCTGTACTATATTTCAAATTTTAAGTCGTCAGAAGACAAATATACTTGGATGTATAATATTAGTTATGCTGCCCGTGGCATTCAATTACTTTAAAGACATGTTGAGATAGAATGGGTGGTAGAAACTCATTGATGAAGCAAAATCAATCAAAGCTTATAGGTGCTGCCATACCATCATTATTACCTAAATGTAGAAGCAACAAACATACAAAAATAAAACATCTTTCCACTCACTTATAGGTTTGCCTCCAACTTCAACCATTCAATAATTTTTAAACCATTAGTGTGGGTTCCAAGTTTGGCTACATGATAGTTGCATGATGCAAAGAAGAGATGTAAAAAAGCTATCATGCAGAGAAGTGGTAAGAATGAAGTAAAATATAGGCATACATAAAGCACAAAGCCGCACACGCTATTTATTTTATCTACAATAAACTTATTTAAAACAACATATCATCATTCCTCTTCATATTTATTCTACACCGTAATGGTTAGATAACTTGGCTATGTTGCTCATGGATACCAATGGTTGGAGAACTATGATTTGTAGTGATTAGTGAATAATATGTTTAAAAGGACTTTTTGTTTCAATTATAGTGGTATGGTGATATTCCTTCTCTTCCAATTATCTATAAGCTTTTTACCAATTTTCAAATTGCACGATCTTCATAAACCTCTCAGTAGACAAAAGAATAGTTTGATGGTTGATGCATTAGGGCTATTGCTTATGCATGTTTGCATGTATGGCAACTTAACATAAATAGTTTAAACTACCTAAGGGCCATTGAGAGTTGAACTTCATGGTGAGTTCAAACACAATCATGTTAATTAAATCAATTATAACATTGTTAGACCCTTAAAGTTTTTGATTTTTCTTTCCTAAAGTTGCAAAACCTTGGGTTAGTTATGCATCATTAATGTAGTCTAAAGTAAATATTACGAAACAATGGCAATAATTCAATCATAATTGTCATTTAAATCTAAAAAATAAGATATAACATGATAAACTGAAGGAAAAGAACTAATGTGGTAGATTCCAAATTGAATTTATACTTTTCAGGGTATAAATTTAGCTAGCTCGCAATATGGTGCAAGTATATACACATATTTTTTTGTAAAATAATCCATAACAAACAACCATGAATCTGTTCCTAAATTATTTCCAATACATTTTTTACCCTTTCTTAAGATCAAAGGAATTATACATAAATGCATCATAACGTTCGCATCATGCATTTTTTACCATTTTTTTAAAGACCAAAAGAAAAATGCATGAATGCATGAAGCCCTTATCTGGTTAATATTAATTCTATATATTTTTAAGTCCTAAAATTGTCATTAATACACTTCTCCAATCATTTGGCATCTGCTTAATCTTCAAATTTTAATTCAAAATATTTGTTAACCAAATCATTGCAGTAACCCCTTTGCCCTCCACTATATATAGCGTCTCTTTTTAGCCCAAAACTTTACCTGTATGCATGACCTTCAATGCTAATTCAATTCTACATTGTTTTATTGTAGATGATATGCCCAATTAGTTTTTTTCCAACATGCTCTTCCAAAATACTTCTTCCTTCACATAATTAATGATTTCATAAAGCAGCTTTTTCCAACTTTTACTTGATGCCTTAAATTTTAAGATTCTATAAATTTTGACTGTAACGGATTAGAGTTTCTAGATATAGTATCTGTTTTCATCATCTTTATTTTAATTCCTTTATCCTTATTATCAAACCTATTATATAAATCAAAATTGGACTAATTTTTATTTTGATTGATAACGTATTTACAAGGATTCTAGCTCCGATATTCGTTATCAACAAATTATTATTTAATTTTTATATTCATTAAAAAACACACCTTTTAAAAAAAAAGGTACCCTAAAACCTTACTAAACAAAATGCTCTTTCTTACCCCAAAGGAAATTTTATTAATATCAAAACAAGAATATAACGTTTGACTAGAAGTACCAACTACACCTAAAATACAACGCACACAAATAAAAACATATGGATCCACCACCGATAGAGACAACACACAAAAAGCAAAAGAACAAACCACACATACGAGAGAAAAATAAAAAAGGCACAATAACGGCGCTCAGACATAAGAGAATGAACTGAATAAAAAGAACATCCATTAAGTTCAAGCCAGACACAACAAAAGAACCATCACCAAGCTCCCAGGACCAAATCACCTTACTAATATATACAAGTTGTTAAAAGACTCTCCTCAGAACTTTATGAAAATTTTTTTGACGAAAATTTCCATCAATCACATATCAAATTGGGGTTGTTTCAAAAGTTCCAATTTGCCTCTCTTTGAAATATAGAGCAAAAACAGCAACAATCCTTTATTTCAATAAGTGGGATCGGCTACATAAACCCTTTTTCTCCATTTCATCCTATTGAGTGTCATATTTTCATTTAATTCCAATAAATTAAGATTATTTTAAATAATATATGCCCAAGTTTTTCTAGGACTACCTCAGTCTTTTTTAACATAAGTTGAATCTAAAACATCTACCTCCTAACCGGATCATCTAATGGTCGATGTTTAAATTGACCAAACATCTAAGATGACTCTCTCTAATTTTGTCCGCCACTGGATCCACACCAGCCCTATCGTGTATATATTCATTTCGCAATTTGTCTATAAGTGCAAAGTCACTAATCCACCTAAGCACTCATATTTGCAACACTTAACTTAGTTATATGCTTTTCACTTAAAGACCAACATTCTTCACAATAGAGCATTGCAGGTCTCATCAAATTAAGATTATTTTTTATGTCTAGATCAAATAAAATTAGAAACTTCTCATATACATTGAATTTTCATTGTTGGGAGCTTTTTTGGATAATAAGATTTCTTTTCATTGCTTTTCCTCATTTCTTAATCTATTTGCATTATATTTCATTATGTACTGATATGAAAATTTTCCAAGAAGAGTGCCAACGGGAATCAACAAAAGGACAAAATATGAGATTGGATTTGTATGCATGAGGATATTGTTTAAAATGTATTACAAAGATTTGCACATTCTCTAATTTGCACACTCTTCACACTCTTGTGCATCCCCAACACTCTTGTGCATCCCCATTATTCTTAAAAATAGAGACCAAAATACTCTTCCTCCACTCCTCAGACATCTTTTTAGTTTTTAAAATAACATTTAAGAGTTTAGTAAGCCAAAAAACTCCAAAATCTAATAAATATTTCCAGATTTCAATTGGGATATCATCAAGTCTTACAAAATTTCCACCATAAGTTTTTTTTAAAGCTGCCTCCAACTTCTTCATTACTAATGCAACTGTAAAAAAAATAAATATTTTATATTGTTAATGACATTAAAATCAATAATGTCGATCGTATTTTCATAAACTTCATTGAAAAATTTATCAAAATAACTCATCCACTTATGTTGAATATTTTTTTTCTAAGAAAAGCTTTTTTTTCATCTCTAATACATTTTGCTTAAATTAAATCTTTGATTTTCTTTTTTATTTGTTTGGCTAGTTTATACATATATATTTCATCAAATTTAATATCTAATCTATTATAAAGATAACTAAAAGCAGAATTTTTAACATAACATATTGCTCTCTTGAAAAATTAATAATTTCTTGTTTTTAAAATTTTACTACTTTATCATCTAGCTAGTTTTTCATTTGTTTGTTTTCTTTCTACGCTTTAAATATATATTCTTAGCCATTAGTACATGTAGCATGGTCAAACTATCACAAAATCACACCCGGCAAACTTTTTGCAGAAATATTGTGTTCCTTCAAAGTAAAAAAAGGGAAATTTAGTTGCGATTTGGTGGTTCCTCTTTTCAAAGCAATCAAGTGAAATATAATTTCTTAAAGTACATTTTCTTTATTGCAAAAGATCATAGGCTTATATAATGTCAAGCATAGATTCCATATCACATTTCTACCTTCTATACCAAGGACCAAGAATCCTCTTAAATCCATTCCACAAAAACCTCTATTTCCATTCAATAACCCCAATAACCATCACTTTCCTCACATATGTATTGTAACATTTCATACATCTCCTTTGAAAACTACTTCCGCAAACTACATCAAACTTGAGACAATTAAGTTTTTTTTTCAATAATATTTTTATTGAAAATTACCTTAATAACTATCACCATATCAATAATCCTATTAACCTTCATAATTTAATCTTCAACTATATTCTTCTACTCATGTCATCATTCAAATTTCTTACATTTCAAACCAAATCAATATATACATATATATACACCTTCTGCTAATTTTTAACCTCAATCAAGTTACAATTGTGAATTGTGACTAGCAAGAGAAGTAGCTAAACTTTGCCTACGTTGCATCATAAATCAAATTAAGATGTGGCATTCTCCATTATGTCTGTCTTCATATGAATATTGAAAACAAAAATAAATTAAAAGTAACATGCAACTAAACATATACATACATACATACATATATACATACATACATACATACATACATACATATATATATATATATATATATTACACATACACACACATATATATATATATATATATATATATATATATATAGAGAGAGAGAGAGAGAATCACAAAAAAAAGTCATAGCACTGATTCAGATATAATTTCTTGTGGAAGAGTGCCACAAAAATATAATAAAATAAAAACTAGCCCCTGACATTATCCACGCAATTTTTGGTAACTAGTGCACACCAAAATAGAATTATGGGACACTTTAGTAAAAACAATCAAACCTATTAATCAAAAACACTAATATGGAAAACACAAATGCACAACCTTGATTAAGAAAAAACAAATACTAGAAGGGTTTATACGGAATCTTTAACAGATAACAGAATATCATTTCTAAAACTGCTGGTGCCCAATTTAAACCAGTAGAGACAAAACTTTAGAAGAAGTTATCATAAAACAAGAGCAACTGGTCTATGAACTTTATAAAGAAAAGCATCAAAGTAGATAAAATTTTGGATCAAAACATGATACCAACCAGGCAATGCAAATCGAGAACGAATAGAAGATCGATGCTTTTGTATAGCATTATGTGATGAACGGCTATTCACTTCATAACGCTTGCTTGATTTTGGCTGATGCTTTCTCATAGTGAGTACTTTAAGATCCTCTCTCCACAAATGGTGCAAAGCTTTATACTTTAAAGCGAGAATATGCTCTTTGAATTTCAAAACACGCTTTTTAATCACTAATCTCTCTCTAATGCTTATGTAATTTTTCTTGCACTGTGAGAAATCTAATTCCGAGAAATTATACTGTGCCAACCAAGGAGGTATGGCCCCATCAAACTCTTCTAAAGCTTTTTTGGCAGCATCCCTGTTCGAAGTCATTATAAAATCTAGCAAACTATTATCTTCTTTTTCAGTTCTGTAATCTAAACTAGAATTAGGATTCTCTGTCTCCAAAGACGGAAATTGAGAGCTAACACATATAATACCATCAGAGGAAGGATGAAATGTGCCCTTCACAGTAGTTGCCTGCTCTTCTGAAAAATTTCTGGGCACGGCCATTTGTCCCTCTAAAGACACAGAAGAAGCCGCGATACAGTTATCAGAAGAAGATAATTCTGCCAATGACTCAGAGCATTCCTGAAAACTATTTATCTGCCCATCACCATCAATAGACTTGAGCCTGTTTTCAAATAAGTCAATTTCACATTCAGTTTTTTCCAGTTCTTTGGATATGTTTTTCTTCAATAGTAACAGCTTGTTTATAGTGGAATTTCTAGTGAACGACGAATCTCCTGAGCAAGCATCTTCGGGCTGCAACAAATCACTGAGAAGTAAAGCCAGGGAACTTATGGAATTGGCATCCAATTGATCAAATTTAATAGAAATATCCTTTGGTGAATTATGAATCCCAAGGCCTGATGAATCACTGCACTGAGCTCGATCGGTTTCAGAATTTAATCCTTTTATAGGGAGCTTTTCATCTGTAGCAGCTGAAACATTCCAATATGGTAAAAGACAAAGAAAACAAAAACTCAGTCATCATTCAAATCACCAAAAATGTGCTGGAATGGATGCTGAAATATACTTTTTTTATGTATAAATATTGGATACTTTAAAGAGAAAAAGCCAATAATTTCTTTAAGACTATTTTCAATAAAATTAAAAAACAACAAAAAGAAGCAAATCAGCATCTATCACCCATTCTGCTTAACGAGAGAAACAAGAAATTAGACACAAATAATAATAGTACCAGCCTGATCTTCAAAATAATAAACATAAACCATTTTTTTTCTTTTTCAGGTTATAAAATTACAATCATAGCATTTGTGAAATAAGATTTGATGTGAAATTTCAGTGTTAGAAGCACACATTAAGCAATGCATCGAAAAGATAGCATTTATCATGATGAACCTCAGCCCAAAATCATTTAACAGCTAAAGACCTTTAACATTCAAAACAACCAGAATGGCAAAAATCTACATGTTCCATAATCCAAATTACAAATTCAAACACAAAAAATTCTGGAACAAATACAGCATTTCCAGCTGTGTACAGTAATAATTGTGCTTTAGCACTCAACATCAAAAAGGATAAAAGGAAAAAAAAATTTATTTGGAATAACTTAAACACTTCACAATATTCTCTTCCACACAATAACCAATTGATTTATACCGGTATTAAAACGAGCAAGGGAGAATAAAGTCTGCCACAATGACTAAACTGAGCAGTTGTTGATGCCATGACAAGATAAAAAAAACTCATTAGAGATTTCTTCCCAAAACCAATTCTCCAAACTAATCTATGGAAGTCCAAATAAAACTAGAAGAAAGATGAGGAAGAAGATTTAAAATAATAATAATAAGAGCAAAGTGTTATTTCGATCAACCCGCATCAGAAGAAGTAAATACTTCCGGAATAGGAAAAAAGAAGAGAGGTAAAGATTAATTCACCTGGAGATGAACTGCATGCGACCGACGTAGGGGTGGCGGGAGACATGGATCCAGGAAGAACAGAAAACTTTGGACTTGAATCACCGACGACAATCTTAGCACTGCTGGTTGACTGAGCCGATCCATTATGTGCAGAAACATCCACAGATCCTTCAATCTTCTGCTTCTCATACTTCGCTAAACCCTGGCCCCAGCCAAGACGGGGCTTCTTATTCGGAGCTCTATCATCTGACTGCAAGAGAGATGTAAAAGGAGATCTCGCTGGAGAATCCTTCACGTGGGGCGCCGAAATCTCAAGATTGGCATCTTCAGCCTCACATCGGCCAGTCTTTGGCGTCTGCACACTCGACGGCCTACTCCACTTAAGAGGCTTCCAGGCGATCGGACCAAGAGAATGGTCCCGATCATATTTTTGGCCTGTTTCCACGCCATCACTCTTGTCAAGAACATTTTTCCAAGGGATCGGAGACAAGGAAGAGGACGATGCGTTTGTTATCGGAACGGCAACAGACCTCTGAGCAGCTAAAGGAGGAGCGAGGTGCGGCCGAGCACTGTCGCCACCAGAGTCAAGAGAAGGCGATCGCCGAGAAGACCCCCGACTTTCTTTACCCCCGCATCTTCCCGAAGACAGCCTGAAGATGTCTTCCTCCTGCCAAAATCTGTCCCCAGACCGGGAAGGCGTGCAACCATGCCCGCTTGATTCTTCAGAATATAACTGCTGGTACCCGCCGTCGTGCCTATAGTGACCTTGAAGAAATTTGCAGACAATAAATATTCAAAATCAAAAACTTCAACTCCAACAAAACACTTCAAATATCTCCAAGATCTCAAGATGATATCGTAACATACCTGAGGACGGCCGCCTTGGGGATGCACGGGGGAACTCCCGCTGCCCATGGTAGGGCTCCCGCCATCGTGAAGTAGAGCAGGAGCCCCCACCGACACCGCCCCCTCCACCTCCACCTACGGCATCACACCCCGCACCCCGTTCCTGCTTCCTGTCCTTGACAAAGGGCTCTTTCCGATCCCAGGTATGTGGCGAAGGCATAAGATATGGCAACCACCGGGTTGCATCGAACGCCCCTTCAATCCAAAGAAAAAACCAAAAGCCGCCACCGTAATCCCAAAAACCCCGCTATAACTACAAGTCCCCAAACCCAATTCAAACCGCCAACACCGCCGCCCTACTTCCCAACAAACAGAAGCATCAAAACCTCATGCACCAAGCTCCACCATCTCAATCCCTTTAACCAGCCCACCCGGCAACTCCCATATCAAAGGTGACTAGAACACGACACGGAAGTAAATCTTTATCCAAACCAAACAAATCTATATCAAACCTCCTTCAAAACGACAAAAAGAAAAAGCGCTGCACCGCCTGCCGCCACCGCGCTCCGACGACCTAATCTAAAAGAGAAGAAGAACCGAAGCGAGAGAGCCGGAGGAAAAACTGAGCCGATAAAGATGAGATTCCAGCCTGGACTTCAGAACCCTTCCCCATCGAAATAAACCGATTACAATCCCTTCTCACGTCCGCCATTTTTATTTTTTATTTCTCGCATTAAATGAATTTTAAAAGCATAATATTACTTTTCCATTGTATTTCTCTTTTTCCCGCCCGCCTTTTTTCCGACTATAAATCACGGCCGTTCAATCTTTTCTGATGCAAATCTGAGGGTAAAACGGTAAATATATTGACATTAGGGACCCCCTTTCTCGGGCGGTGTCCTGGTCAACCGGATCTGCGTCCACGTCGGCAATAGCGCCCGCGTGCGAGCGGGGCAGAGGAAGATTCGCACGTGGGAGGTCTGCGTTAGCACGGGTGGCGCTCGTGCTGTGGATGCGGAGATTGCTAGGGCTGGCGTGGCATTAGCCGAACATAAAATTTAATTTTAGTAAATAAAATTTAATTATCCCGGACGTCGAGGCTGATGGGACCCGGACTGTCGCCTTCCCTTGATGAATAAATGCGACGAAATATATTTTTTAATCTGAAGTGATAATATTCCTTGCCTGGGCGATTAGTCAAAGGGTGAACTGAAGCAGAGGAGTGTAAGAAAATAATTTCAATATTTTTTATATATTTTATAAATAATTGTAATGCTATTAAAAATTTTTTCTATGTTATTTATTATTTTTGTATTATTAAATTATTAAATAATATAATTAAATCACTGGATAGTCTTATTAAGCATAATGCGATCAATTTTTTTATTGGACTTTTATTATCTTGGTGAGGAATATTAAGTTGCTTGTTAAATTAAAAGATATATATAGAGAAGTTATCAAAATGGTCATGTCCGCACAGAATTTGCTTTTTGAATATTGGTTGGGGTTTATTTCGCTTATTTCTAACGTTTTTAATACGTATATGTTAAAATTTTAATTTATTAGTTATTTTTCAGGCTAAGTCGGTCTCATTTATTAAAATAAATATGTTTTTAAATGACTTTTTAATAGATTTATGGGAAAATCAAAATATATGAGTGTACATTGAAAATATGCAAGTGTTGATCCTAAAAAAATCTAACATAAAGAAATAAGGCAGAAGATGAGAGACTCATATTGACAGAATACCAATATGCTCCCTTATCGTATCAAACGCAATCATCCAAAGCCAGAGCAAGTAAGGCCAAAGCTGGTTGAGTTATGAAGACGACTGAATTTGAGTCATTCTCTCATAAATGAGACAAAGAGGTATTTAAGCCGACCACTACATGAAGCCAATGAAAAGCAGCAACTTTCCTTTTTGTAGATCCAACTCGAGGAAAGTATCAGTTCTACAATGTCACCAACAATCCTAAGGATGCCCTCGAGGCTCCTCGACAGGGTTGAGGAATTCCATGCATCAAAGAGTCTTATAGAAATCCCTTAGGCTCTCTTCATTAAGGAGTGAGCTACTTATAGCATCATGGTGATTCACCTTTTGCATGTCAGTCTAGCGTCGCTCTACTGATAGGACCTCTTCATCGGGTTCGATGGTTGACAACCAAACCAGATCAATCAATCAGCAAATTCTAGCAGAGTGAATCAGTTTTATCGACCCTAAGCCAATGAAGCTAAGTCGAACAGTAACAGTGATTTAGCCTAGCCAACCAAACTGACCTTACAAAATTGAACTCATACTAGCTTCTCGATTGAGTCAGAGAGCGGCCAAGAGATTGACTCATACATTAAAAATATCCATAACACCATGTAACATCACCCAATTGCACTATCTCCATTATAAATTGAGATATCATTTTATTAATAAGATATGACATATTATTGTTTATTGTTATTCAATCGTCTCTCTCTCTTCTTGCACTCTATTTCTTGGGGTTTGATTTACAAACAAATCATGGTTCAACATTCTAAAAGACGCGACGAGTGTGGATCATACAAAAAATAATAAAAAGAGGAGCACATAGAGAATAAACTCATAACAAAAACATTGGTAATATGGAGTGCACGAGAGGTATAATAGGACGTTCTTCTGTTGGGCATCGTGCTTATATATATGCACAAATATAAGTACAATAAAAGGGAGAGTCTGTAATGATTTCTAACTATTTGCTTGCATATGTCATTAACTCCCCCAATTATAAGGAACGATCTATTTCTGGTTGCATGGCTTTGCCTGCTAACTCCTGTTTTTAGTGAGTTGCGTAATTTATTTATTCTTTCATATGTATTTGATAGAGTCATTAGACAGAGTCTATATCAAAAATAAGGTACAAGCACGAGTTTCTAAGAGAATGACGATCAAATCACGTGACGGAGACCATGAGCGATAAATCGTGTCCCGTATTGTAAGTCTAAATTATATATTTTTGTATAGACTTGGGATCAGACATGTATATGCAGAGTCTTGTTGTTTTTTCTGCTTTACTGGGATATGTTACCCACCTAGCGGCCAGCGACATTTGACCTATTTTATTATTTTGGCGTGTTTTACTTTTTGTGTGTATTGTATGCCTGGATTGCTTTTCAATGTTTATTTATGTGCATTTGGGATTCCACAAAAACTATAATCTATGTTCATGAAATACCCCTGTAATTATAAAATTTATACTAAAAAATCATAAATAAAACATTCAACATAATTAAAATTTATGATTAAAATGTTCAGGACTTTAAAATCAGTATTTTACTTTCCTGCATGGCATTCGAGCTGGTTTTAAAATGGGTTGCATTGCATAAGCATAACCCAAGTCATGCTAAATAGGGCATTCACAATATTTAAAAATCACTATAGATAATTGGATTCATATTGCATGTTCCGAAGGAGAAGCCACCATGCTTCTCCAACCCGATTGACCCAGCATAGATTTCTATATAGATGGTTGTCTAATGTGCTTATAGTGTCAGGAGGCTCTCTGATGAGGGTGTAAACGAATCTAACACGAACGAGCAGAACTCGTGTTCGTGTTTGGTTTGTTTGAAATTAAGTGTGTTTGAAATAAGTTTGTGTTTGAAATAAAGTTGTTGTTTGTGTTTGGTTTGATTTGTTCGAAATGATTTCATATAATTCGTTCATCCATTATTTAGGTTGTATTGAAGGGTTACCGCAGTTCCGCGACAAGTGGTGTTATTGGCAGTGTTCATTGGGTTGTATTGCAGTGTTACAACGGTTCCACGACAAATGGTGTTTTTAACTGTGTTATTAACAGTGTTATTCGAGTTTTATTGCGGTGTTACCGCGGTTTCACAATAACTTATGTTAATGACGGTGTTATTATGATGGTATTGTGTTGTTATTGGCTTTATTGGGTAAAACAATCGGCATTATTGGTGTGCAAAATTAAAAAAATTGGTGTTATTACGCGCGATTTGCGCTATAGCGGGTGTTATCGCGTGCGGTCTTGAAGGCGGTGTTATTGCTGGTGTATTGTGGTATTATTGGTGAGGGTTTTATCGTGAAATTGTGGTGTTATTGCGGCGACGGGACGACAGTGTTATTGCGATAGTTTTTTTTTTTTATTGTGGAGTTTTTGCGAAGTATTGCAGTGGTATTTTGTGTTATTGTTGGAATTTGCTATCGTTTGATGTGCGATGTTATTGTGGCATTGAAATAGTGTTATTATGATATTAAAATATTTTTGTGGTGCAAAAAATAATGTATTGTTATTAATAATTTATGATGTATTATAATTTATATAATTTATTTTTTTAAAATGATAAATTTTTATAGTATATATATATTTTTAAAAATATCATAATTTTTTTATATATTATTATTTTAAATTATTTTATATTATAAACAATAGCGATTCAAACACGAACAAATACAACACAGTTTGTGTTCGGTTCGTTTAACAACCCGAAAGAAAAGAACTGTTTATATTCGCTCATTTGCTTATCGAACGAATTGAGCACGAACCGTTCTCGAACGACGAGTTTTTTTAATAGCCCAACTCCCCGACCCAAACGGGGTCTAAGATCTCTTGTTCGGAGTGTTTCCAGCTCTAAACCTCCATCCTCATTCTTTTATAGAGACATCATTGCCACTTAGACAGATATAAGTCCCACGTTTTGGAGCTCCAGTCGATAGTCGTATGATAAAATATATTTCTTTTGACTTTAGGGCTATCGAGGTCCCCCGTGGACAACGACTTTCACGGATTGCTGACAGGGATCTTATGATGTATTGGGTCGACTAATTTCACACTAGATAGACGTAGGGTCTTAGTGGCTAAGAATAACAGGTACGTGGTACCTTGACATAATTGCCTTCACGTTATAGGGATTACTCCCCTCCTTTGAATAACCCCGCGCCAGTTGTCACTCTCAGGCAAGTAAAACCCCTTTGGATCAAGAATATTATTGGGCAACCCCCACGATGTAATTAATCAGGTGGGATATGTCCCTTCGGAGCATTCATAATCTCAGAATAAACACCTATACCTGAAACTCTAGCTATGAGTAGTCTACATAGATATTCTTTCGCAGATATTAGTCTAAGTTGTATCCGTCTGATTTTGCTTGAGCCGACATACTTGACCTATCATTGTGAGGTTTACCACACGCAGGCTCTCTACGTTTTTTCTTTTTCTTTTGTTTGTCATTTTGTCGTATGTCCGTATTTTTCGGTTCCACTATTCTTTGGTCCATTCATATAACTCGAAAGAAATACTTATTCGGGAAAAAGACAACATACGACGATCAATAAGATAGCGACTCATTCAAAAATAAAAGAGAGAAAAAAAAAATGAAAACACCAAGCCTTCATAATGTTTCAAGATCCCGACATTGAAGTCCTAAAAGAATATGACCAATTCGGCTGACAGCATAGTCTCGTTTGAGTTGATGGTTTGTTCGTTGAGGATTACTAGCACGATGAAATATCATATCTTCTTCACAACGCTGAAGGAGTCGGCCCTCAGTTGCTTCAACGCATTATCACTAATAGTGATTACATCATTCATTTACTTTAAGTGAATATTTGTGACACAGTTTGTTGGCCCCCAGGAACCGCAAATGCATTGACATGCTCTCCAACATATCATGCAAGTGCAGAATAAAAGTCTTCA